CTGTTAAGGGGATGCCAGCTCGCCCCTTGCCTGTGTGGTCATCGTTGGTGTTGAAAGAGCATGCTATGGGCGCGTAGCACCCTCGTCATTTAACTACTGAAGCCGCTTCAACCGCTAGATACATTGATCTTGCGGGGGGGGGCTACGTGATTGCAATGGCTAATCGCCAGGTAGTTGGATAAGTTCTCTCGCTCTATCGGCTCTGTACGAAAACACTATCTACATCGTTGCACACACTTCACACCAGTACAAAAACCTCGTGGCGAGTGGACTCGGCCACCTCCGTTCGAGCTATCAGGAATACGTCGTACTTCATGCTGTACCCCAACATATCTAATGGTGCGACGGGCACGTGCTCCACACATGAACCCTGTCGTGCATCACTGAGCTCGCCCCGCCGTAACGTTACGTGAGATTCCAGGAGCCATGGCTTGGCCGCCTTCGCATCGGGTGTGAATACTCCAGCCAACACGCCAGTCTCGACGTGGTGCTCCCTTGTGAATTGCTTCGTTCGAATCATGCCTGCCCCAGAACAATGCGACAATAGAGGCATGCGCAAGGGCTTTGCAGAATGGGTTATTCCGGTGACGATTGCGCGATCTATCCTTCTGGCGTTCAGTGGCGTACGGCGTGTCCTACGCCGCCGGCAACTACTCCGCGCCATGCACAGGAGCACCACCCTGAAGGACGCGACAGCTTGCGGATGGGGCGGTCGTGGCATCGTTGGATGCATTTTGGCACACTCGGAGTGCCGGTGGTGATCGGTACACATCATTTATTGAGATGTTGCTGGGCCGCGAGGAGATTAGGACTGAGATGCATGCACGAGTGGGCGACGACAGTCGAGACGTCGTCGAGGCTCCCGAGTAGATTGTACAGCGCTTCGACCAAATTCGATTCACCGGTGAGTTGGATCACTTGGAGGTGACTGTCAAAGACAAAGATGGCTCGCAGTGGCAGGTGGAGGAACTCGCCCACGAGTCGCTTGGCCAAGGTTTGCGGCAGATGCGGAAACAACGTCGTGATGGTATTCCACGTGATCAACATCCGCGTGGACGCGCGTGCGTCGACAACCGCCATTTCGCCGTCGCCTTCGTCCATTTTGTCGCTGAAAACTTGGATGTGGTCGCACTGAACTTGAATCGATGCAAACGTGTTTGTGTACTTGGCCCATGACATCGCAATCGGTTCGATTCCGTGCTACACATGACAGCGCGACGATGACGGTTCGTGGATCATGTCGTGGGCGGCTCACCGCAAGGCCATTGTACTGCACGTGAGGCGAGAACATGTAGCGAAGGTATGCGTCGTGCAGCCCGGACCTGTCGTATCCAGCGCTAAACAATCCAAAGTACTGGAGCACGGAGGCCTCATGCGCACCCCACCGCCTGCCACGTTCGAGCGAGAACTTGAGCGACCGCGTTTGCTCATGCAACACTGCTACGTCCATCGCGAGACGGTCATTCGCGGCCTTTTTCCTGGCACGATACCGCTTCTGGTTGTTATTGCAGACCTGGCGGCGCTCCAGCGCCTTGGATGCGGTGGTCCCGTCGCCCAGCATCGATGTGTCGTCGAGTTGGTGCTCGGAAGGTTACTCGGAAGGGCTTGATTTTGATTGGACCACGCATCGATTCCTTGCTTGTGATTGGTGCACTTGGGCGGCGTGGGACGATTGGGCACATTATATGTCATGGTGACTTCTTTCTAACCCCATACAACGATGGGTGCACATTCGGCGCACGGACCATCGTGGAAACGAGAGTGCTGGCGCGGACTTGATACTCGCCGTGGCTGCCGCCATGCCCCTGCCGTTTGCGAGTTACCCCAGCTGGTGTGTGTGACTTTTTGTTAGCAACCTTTAACAAGGACCGTTCAGAGCAGATATGTTTTGCCACAGGTTGGCTCTCGATACCTAGGAAAACTAATTAGGTTTTACGCGTAGAAACGAGTCCATTCGCTTCACATTTGTATGGAGATATCTGCAAGTGGACGACTCAAACCCGACAATTCCATCCAAATTCAGTCCTGTGTTTCGATCGGATATACTTTGCTTATCTTGAATTTGTGCCCGACAAGGACGCATTGTCTTCGTGTATTTTTTACCAAGGACTTCGTCTGGTTTGCAGTATATTTCGACCGCCCCTCTTCTTATAAGCTTTGATATCAACTGTTGGTATTTTTTGCAGTCCATTCATTATATTGTCGGAACGTTCCAATTAATTCAAAACAGTTGTTATATTTCGAACGAATCTGGAAAGTTCAGGTCAGAGGAACTCGATAGTGAATACACAAAGGCAATGAAAGCGTATAAACTCACGTAAAATGACAAAGTAAGAGGTTTGTACCAGTTAAAGTGGAACGAAATCCAACCAATTTCAATGCAGTACGTTTCTGTAACTTCGGGAGAAAAAGTACCTACTACGTAGTATTTATACTTGACAATATAAGAAGGTGGCACAAAATTGGGGGTTGCGGCTGTTTATAGTCTCCGACATTTGCATCCAACCGACAACAGGATGTTATATTGGATGACAAAGTCATAGATTTCAGCAATACAAAACGTACTGCAACATTTTATACAAACTAGTGGAATAGCATCCAAAATATATTACGTGCAGAGGTCTATATACTGATTTTAACTATCACATGCTTCTTCCTCGTCACCGTCGGTGCCGCTCAGCAGATGACTCTTCGTCCAAATTCATTGCATCCACGTGCACAAGGTGCTCATGCAGCAACTTCAACTTTCCTTGGACAACCTTGACGCATCCCTTTATAGCACCAGGTGTTAAAGCAGCAAGTACCGCTTCAATCCACTTCTTGACGTCTGCGAACTTGGTTTTATTGTCATAACGACGGCCAACTTCACCTTTGACAATGGCCCAAACCACCTCATTGGGCTGCAAATATCATCAGAGTGGTGCGGCGGAGTAAATACAAATGTGTGGCCACGCTTCTTTGCCATGTCACCTACGGCCGGATCGATGTGCTTGTGAATATACTGCGACTGCTTCTCCCACAGGATGCTCTTGTAGTCAAACTCGTCGAATTCGATGCCAAATCGCACACATTCGTCCTGCAAACGCTTCTTTCGCATTCTGCTTGATGGAGTGTCTCCAGGGCGACCTTTGTGGTATATTGAATTATCCATGACGATCAGTGCGTTGGTCAAATGCAGCTGGTCCATCTCCGAGAGAAATTTGCCTAAAAAATAATTTGCCTAACCAATCGACAAAGTAGTCGTGATTAAACGTACCATGGTAGTCCTTGGGCTCATTGCCTCTTGCTTTGCCGCCAGTGAAGATGTTGAGGCCCAGAAGCTTGCTGTCCATGGTTGCCGAGTCCAAGATTCCCGCAATTAAGCAATGACGCTGACACTTGTGCCTCTCCTTCGTGGCATTGTCAAAGGCGTAGTTTGGGTCGTAGAGACTGTCATTATGGCACTTGTAGTGGTGGTGATTAAATGATTCGTCCGTGTACACAACCGGTGGCGGCATCGTTGACACAGCATACGACTGCATGCGCCGTAGGTACTCGTCACGGAGTAGGGAGTTTTTTGTGGACAAGTGAAATGACGTACAAACCTTCTACTTGCCACGCTTGTAGCCAACGCGCTGCAGAAAGCGCTGAACTGCACGGAGAGCGATTCGCTGCAGGGGTCGCTGCAGTCACTGTTCCAATTGGTTGTATTCACGAACAATAGCCTTGACCAATTATGGCTGCGGCCGAGAGCTGTGGCGACTCTTTGGGGCACCTCAGTGGAGCCTTCTCCAACAAAATATGTGTGAAGGCGAAGAATGTCAAATCGCTTTTCCCGAGTGAGTGTTCGATAGCGAGCTATCTTGACGAAATTGATGCATGCTTGAGCTTGGGTAAAAGATGAGGTGGTTGCAACATCGCTGGCTTAGTATATCTTTCTCAGCAGTGTATTAATGCACACAGGACGGTCCAGTATCACGAACGAAATAACCAGTGTAAACGAATATCCAAAATCGCGAGATTGTTTATAATGGTTAAGAGGTTATAATGGATTAAAATTCATATGGGTACACTCGATCAGATTCTTAAAGATTACTCAAAGAATACTTTGTTCTACAGGGACCATGTTATACAGTGTGGATTGTCTTGAAATTTCCTATCGAACATACAAAACAGATTTCAATTGATTTATTAATTGAACTTTGGTGGTTCGATGCTGTCGGGGAATCTTAATAAAAATACAGGACTCTGCTAAATCGTAAGTGACGTATAGGGTTTGACACCTGTCCTTGAAAAATGATCAGCCACTATAGGACTGAGAAACGGCCCAAATTTTTTTAAAGGCAGCAGTGAGGAATATTGGAGAATGAGCGAACGCTTAGTCCAGCAATACCAAGTGAGTGAAGAATTCTAACAGGTTGTAAAGCATTTAGGAGTTTTTCGTTTATCTAATCATGCTTGTTTTAACGCTTTGCTCTTTTTAAGAGCTGGTTCAATATTTCTTTCAATGGGAGATTTTGGCGACAGAACCTGTACATTATGTGTAATTTTCCCTTGGCATGGCTCCTCACCCAAGAGCCAGATACAAGAGCGACGAGCTCGCGTCGGCAGCGAAATAGGTCTTGGATGGAGCTCAAAGAGTTGAGGTGTCGCGTCGCATCAACTTCACTTACCAAACATTTGTGAAGTGAGTCAGCGTGACGATGTCTGGAACAGTACTGTGGCACAAGCTTCGCCCAAGACAACTCTGCCATTTGATGTCGAAGCCGACCTGGTTGCATGGATTGGAGCAATGTGAATGCCACCTACTTGGATGAGCAGCGATTCTTGCCAAAGCTACCCAGATCTTCCGCCAAGTTGACGGCTTGGCAATAATGAGTTGCAGGTGGTACAGACGTTTCATGGATAGACACGACCAGTTGGCCAAGCGCGTGGCTCAAGTTCTTTACCACGCCTGAAACTCTGTGCATGAAAAGAGTGTCGACCAACTGTTGACACCATGAACGATGCTATTGAAATGCATAATCTGACCGCTGAACGCATTTTCAACAAAGACGAAGCTTCCTTTTCGTTGCAGAAGGAGATCAGAAGTGTCATTGCGCTGAAGGTTCTCGAAATGTCTAGGCGAAGTGCGTAGCGGCGAACTTAAGCGCAATACCATAACGGTAGACATACCCTTGCTATTATATACTTGCAACGTTTCACGCAACGATTCGACACTCAAACATCGTTTTTGCTCTATAGAGAGGACGACAATTCGATCTTCTTGCTCAATTGTAACTCGTGAAAGTCCAGAACGCGGAAGGTTAGTAGAAGTTCCGTGTGATTGAACCTCTTTCTGGTCGTCTGCACTGCACTATAGCAGTCGTTAAATCCTGCGTGTGAGCAAAGTTTCAACGGAAAGACCCATCGGCGCGGTTTGAAACCTTCAGATTTCACATGCCATGTGAGTGCTGCTTTTTCACCCATAGGTAGCCCATCCGGTACTTTGGCCACCATTGATAGCAGCGCATCGATGGAGCCTTTGATACATACAAGTAGCGATTGACCAATTCGAAATTGAAGAAGTATGAATTCATTGGCACCAACATATGTGACTTGAATAAGAACTTCTGCCATGGATAATCCAAGTTTCAGATGCTAGAGCCGATTTTTTACATCTGGTATAGCGTCAATCAATAACATGTACCAAATGTTCTAAAGTATTCTCATCACATGCGGATTCATAGATTTTTACGGTTTAATAGAAAATGCTCCACATGAATGTTGAGTATTGGTGTCGACATATATTCGTCCACCTCTGTATGAATGCTTTTGATATCGACTTTACATTCAGAACTACTTATTTCTCTCTTCCTTAGAACCGTGTAAACCTGTCTCCAAAGGCAGGTGAAATATAGAAAAAAACTGCTAAGTTCAAAGTGTAGATGACAAATGTTTTGACTTTTTAATTCTGGAAGCCAAGCAAAATATCTTAACGTTTGTATTGCTTAGAAATTTCATCCAGCGATGACCTATGTACTTTCATTCGCTACTTACATGCGTAGCTTTAAAAGTTTAATCAATTCCCCAGTCGAAATTTCAAATGAATCAATGCGTTTTCATATGTCGAATAGTTGCATGCAACAATGGATGATGTAAGTCCTTTGTTGCGTCCTTTCACATGCGTTGATCTTGTATTCATTTTCTCCAAGAATCTCAATTGACAAATCCACTACGTTTTGAAGCGTAATACTGTTTATGTTTTAGAGAGCATTCGTTTTAGTTTATGCTTTACAGAATACTTCCTCAGCTCCACATTACCTACTCTAAACTACATTTCACTACTCGGGTCGGTGTGTTCGTATTAGTCACTGTTGCATAAGCAAAATGTTCCTTTATCAATACAAACTTGAGAAATTCAAGAAGTTGACCGCGCTCGTGTGAGTCGTAACGCATGGACAGTCCTGCTCTAATTTAAATGAGGGATCCTCGAGTTCCTTGGGGTTTTGGGAAAACAGCCCCATCGGTGGCACGACTGCACCCGAGTGGACGAAAATCAAATTTTATGAATCCATGGCATGTTGTCAATTGCGCGTTCGATGAGGGATCCCCTCGACCGAGGGTCATGAGACGCTCGTAGCGTGCACTCGTGCGTGGTGACGACAGACCGACTAGTATATTCCTACATAGCACCCAAAACCGTCGCAGTACAAATACGCAAAATCGTATGATTGGTCAAGTGTCACGATACTTTGGTATGATGGGCTAAACTTAAATCTCGCGTAACAAGTGGCCGATAGAAACGTCGTAGGGAAAACATTCAAATAATACAACTTTTGATTGGTGAATTGCTTTGTGGTCAGCGGTGAGCGCATTCCACATTTAGCGATGGCGAAGACACCGGCAAGAAGACCATCGACGAATCGTTCCTCGGCGCGTCCGCGAAGCGAGAGTAATTGACGCGTTTACCACAATGACCCAGCTCACAGCATGCAAGTTGCGATTTCTGTTTCCCGCGAGTATTCTCGGTAGTTTCCGCATTGGACAGCTTCTTGCACTTCGCTGGCCCGACGCCTAGTTTGGTGAAACTTAGATAAATTTGTCTTAGTTCGTCTCGGCATGAGGTTGTAAGGTTCACTACCAATCCCACAGACCAAATTCGAGCCTTGATCATGGAGAACAGATCCCCATCAATACATTAGAAACAGCCAATCAGATCGTTGTCGGCTCAATTTGTCGCATCGACGAGTAATCTTCACTTATTATATCTAAGTCCACATTCGTAACCTCCTACACGTAGATATCGTCCTCCGTCATGCGTGTGCGTTTCTTTTGTGCTGGAAACACGAGATACCAAAATCCTGTGGCGGTTTCGGGCTTTCATCAGAGTGGCTACATCGAACTACAGCTTTTTGTTGCATAGGTCAAGAGGGGACCAAGTGCAAGATACTTTTGTTGAAACGAGGCCACCATGTCGCTTTCGAATGTATAGCGGTCCACGGGTGTCCCCCTTTGCTCGCGATAGAGCCGTTCGCTCCATATGATCAAGCACAACTTTTACGAACGTAGTATATGTTGTTTTTTCTTCGTCACCATATTGGTGAACAGAACTGGTTGGTTGGTCAAGATATATGGTTGCCTCGAAACTTCAATTTCTACGCCGCGAACAAATTGGCGCTCGGAAAATGGAAAGTTTCGCCAACGATGTGCAGATGACTGCAATACAACTTTCAACGTCTGCGTGGGTTGATGTCGGTCGAGGAACTGGATCCGCCTGGGTCATCGGACACCACGGTCGCCACTCTAGTGGTTTGTAATGCTTAATAATCTTGGCGAATCCAGCCAGGGCGCCAGTACAACGGTGTGCAACTTTCTCAACTCAAGTGGCCATCCATTTTGTCCAAACGGACAGAAGTACGACATGCGGAGGAACTCCTGAGGCTGCAAATCTGGTGGACTCGTGACGAGTGTTTGAATGTGGGTCAGTGCTGCGGCGTTGGCGAATTCTACTCCGGTCTAAACAAGTTGTCACATCCGTATTCACTTGATTAAACTATGCTACTGCAAAGGCGGATCTCTTGATTAAAGTATGCAACCCTAAGAACACATTTTGCCATCTGACAATATTTTGATATTTTAAACATTGGCTGCAGCAACTTGATTTTGAGAATTCATCAGGGCCTCCATGTGAGCTTCCTCGCCAAGGCGGAAATCCAAATTAGATAACGCGCTCTCATTGCTTGAGGGGTCACACTCGACATAATACAATGCAAAATGTGCAATAGTAGTATCCTTTTTCAAGTGAGGAAGCATATACGTTTTGCTTCCATGTATTTCAATAGACTTTTCCATAACCTTTTAAAGTGTTATGAAAGTTTTTGCAATGGTTTCTGATGGCAACTCAGCAAACACGCTTTCTACAGCACCAATGAGCTCCTCGATCGAACGGGGGCACTTCTGGCACTGCAGGCTTTGAATACAATTAAAGAATCCTAAATCTAAAATGTTAAAGTCAGGACTGTTGGGAGGTTGATTCGCCACAACAATCACCTCAACGCCT